TCCCCTCCAGACTCAACTCAGGCCTGGCATACAGGTCTGGGGTGAAACTCTGCAGCTGCAATCCCTGCAAAGAGAGTAGAGGACAGAACCACCAAGCTAGTCCAGGAGCAGAGCAATTGCCAAAGGGGCACAACAGGTTCATTCCCAGGGTGGCAACAGGAAGGAGCAGAGCACAGCAGCCAGACCCAACCCAAGCACAGCAGGATAAATCCAAACTTTGTAGATCTGCACCTGAATTTCAGTAGGTGATAAAGTTGTAATTGCACCAAAGCTCTGCAACAAAGGTCAGAAGACAGTCCTACACAAAATGACACAAGAAGGAGCAAAATGCTATCTTATACCCCAAGCCCACCTATAACAGGTGCAGAGGACACTAACACAGAACAAATTGGGAACCACACAGCTGAAATCAATGAAATAACAGCTTCTGAAATAGGAAAAAACTGCAGAAGGGAATGGAGGAACTCAGATTGGAAATGAAAAAAGAAATCCCTGAATTAATCACATCTGCAGTAAAGAGTCAAATGCAGAAACATATGGAGGAAACCCAGTACCCACCCAGAACAAATGCAGAAGACACTAGCTCAGCTCAAATGTATGAATTGATAGCGTTGAAAGTAAATAAGCAACAGCAGAAAGGTATAGAGGAACTCACAGAGGAAATCTTTTCTGAAATAAAAAGAGAATTCTCTGAACTCTTAGCATCTGAAGTAAAGAATCAACTACAAAAACAAAGGGAGGAAACACAATCTGAAGAAAATGCTGTAGTAAAAGAATTAATAACTGCTTCTAAAGAAGACATTGATAAAAAATAGAGGAGATTAGAAAAATGACAGATTCCTTGAATGAGCAATAGCATAAAGAAATAGATCACATGAAGCAGAGTCAAAGAGATATAGAGGAACTTAAAATCTCAATCACAAGCTTGCAAAACCATTTAAATGAAAGTGAAGACAGAGTTTCAGATCTTGAAGATGCTGGTGCAGATGGTGAAAAGATAAGAAAAGATCTCTTAAAAACACCTAGGCAGGATAACATAATCCATCACCTGCAAGATGATGCAAAGATGAACAATGTGAGACTAATAGGCATCAATGAGAAAGAAGGAGTCAATACAAATGACATTAAAAAATTATGGGCAAAAGTAACAGCAGAAAACTTCCCAAATGTGAGGAAAAAATCTGCCATTCAGGTAACTGTAGCCTACAGAACACCAAGTAACCTCAACCCAATTAAAAACACACCGAGACATGTCAAGATCCCAGAAATCCAACTCAAGAATAATACATGAAAGTCACTAGAGAAAAGAAGCAGATCACATTACAAGGAAAACCCATCACAATTATGGCTGACTACTCTTCACATACCATGAAGGCAAGCAGAGCATGGAACAGAGTACTTCAAGTCCTCTATCAAAACAAATTCCAGCCTAGACTACCATAACTTGCAAAACTCTCTTTCAAGTTTGATGGAGAAGTGAAATACTTCCATGAGAAAGACCAAAGAAAGAATTTCATGATGACAAAGCCAATTCTACACAGGCTCCCAAAAGATGCTCTAGAGAGGCACCAAAATGATCAGAACTCCACGAATGAGATTAGAAGCAACCAACTAAATAGGGCAAACAATGAAACATAGGAGAAAAAGGAGTAAACGACAACAAGTAAATAACATGTCAATCGTAAGTCAACACAGTGCAATCTAACCATCAATGTAAATGCACTCAATTCCCCAATTAAGAGAAATAGACTGGCACAGTGGATTAGGAAACAAAATCCAACAATATGC